GGGATGTTCCCAGGAAGACAGAGGAGAGATCATGTGCTGAGATGACTGCCGGACATTGGGGGCACATCCTCCCACCTCCTTGGGACAAGGACCTTACACGTGGGAAGGCTGCTAGCATTTCAGTTGTTCTCACACAGTGTTCCCCTGGAACGTTGTAGTGCAACTCACCTGATCTGACCATCTCCGCTTCCACCTTCCCTGGTCCTGGACATGGGTCGGGCTCCTTTACTGTGACAGGGGGCTCAGTGTGCTTGGGAAGAAGAGAGGACATAAAGAGTGTGCACCTCCCCACTGCAAAGGGAACCATTCAGCATCAGTGTAGAGCTTTAATTACCTTGGTGGATTCAGAGGTGTCCCAAGATGCTGAAACACAAAGGGACACACTGTCAACCCAGGTGAAGAGGACCACACAACTCATACCTTCCTCCACATAGAGCTGAGGTGCATGGTTTCACTCTGCTCAACAGCACGCTATCTGCTGGGTTTCCACACTGGCTGGTTCTGGCCAACAACAGTCACGTGACTCAAAGCTACTAAAGGARCTTCATGACTAGGTTTCCTGGAACATGCAGTTTCTTTCACAAAACTGAGGTTATGTGTTCAATGATCATAAATAAAACAGAAAGGGGACCTATGCCAATGCCAAGGTGCAGAATGATGGGGATCTCCCATGGCAGCCTCCAAGAGGGGCCCTGAGAGATTCAATGGTAAAGCCCAAGTAAAAACAAACAAAAACCCACCAAAGGACATCTCTCTCTAGAAACCTGTGGGAAGTTTTGATCCCTAGGATTTTTACGTTTCCTCCATTTGTCCTTCCATTTTGGTTCAGGAAGGCCAAAGCTGTGCCCAGAYTCCARGRGAAGGTCAGGTTCATTTCTCCACARAGCRARACATGYRAAGTARTGAGCTGAGATACTTGGACAGGGACCACAYTAGGACACCTATGGTTTGTTTCTCRTACCCCTGTAGGACGCTGGTTCCTCTTGTGCATCCTCTTCTCCTGCATTCTCTTGCGTAACTGGATTAGACTTTCGTGATCGCCTCGAGTGAGAACAGATTGATCCCACATCTAAGAAATAAAGTTTGACCAGTGTAAACAACTGAGACATGGCAATCCAAAGGGCCAAGGTGAAATGGAAGGTCACAGCTTTATCAGATGTCAGTGATCTTTCATCACACACATACTCTCTCACACACACAGAGAGAGACACACACAAACACCCATAGATGACCAAGAGTTTTAGTGTTTGAATAATAACTGAAGATTTCTGTATACAAATGAGTTTTATTCTCTGTGAGTTGCTCATTTGTTAAGGGTATTCATGAAGATTTTCCTCAGTAACAAAGTAGGAAAAGAGAAAAAGGCGGGTGGGTGGAGGAGGGAGGAAAAAAAGAAGCAATAGGTATCTTAAAAACAATCCATGACTCTGAAATGTCATTTTGCTCCTCAGAATGACTCTACTTGACCCACAGCCAGCAGTGTGTCTGGTAGGGACTGAGAAGAGACAGTCATGGATGCAGTTTGTCTCAACTCTACCAGCCCCTC